TTACCTCAGATGACTAAAAAGTTTAAGCTTAAAAAGTTTGCATAAAAATATTTTTAAAAAATTTCTACGGAATCATAATAATGAGATTTTTGATGCTGTTTTTGAACTTTTTTCAAAGACTTAAATAACTCAGCCGAAACCTTACCAATTTAGACTTATGAGGTATTATTGGTTAGGTATTTTCTCGCCCTTTTAATTTATTTGAAAGGGGAAGGTAAGATAGACGCGTTTCATTCCATGTTGAATTAAGATGTGTTGGTATTTGATAAAGAAAAATTTGTGACGTGAATGAGTTTTTTTGCAAAGAAATAAAAAGGGGGAGGAAATACTTTTCCACTGATACCTCATAAGTTTATATCGGTAAAGTTTTGGAGCAGTTATTCAAGTTTTTCTTAAACAAATCTTTTTAAAAATTAAAAAAACAGCATCAAAAAACGTATTATTATGATTCCGTTGATACAATTTTTTAATATTTTTATGTCGATTTTTTAAGCTTAACCTGTTTTGTCAACTGGAGGAATTTTTTCCAAAAAATCCTTCAAGAAACTATTTTTATTCATAAAAAACTCCAATTTTAGAGGTATTTTTAACCGGCCCAGCTCACGTAAATCTTAATATTTTTCCGAAATATTTTGGTAGAAGTTTTAATATATACCAGGTTTGGTAATCCCGCCGGAAAATCCGCAACTTTTTTTTGGTGATGCAGTCTAATGTAAAGTAGTCGAAAAAATTATAGTCGCACCAAATTTTCACAAGTTTTAAAATATTTTTTCTCTTGTTATATAATTTTGGTTAGTTTTTTATATTCGATTCTTTGACAACATCCGTATAAATACAAGTTTACAGGCAAAGGATTGGGTATTTGCCAAAATTTGGTGCAAATCGTATCCCAATTGTGTGAATACCCAAATATTTTTCTTGCAGTTTTGTTGCCCATTGAATTCTAGTAGAATAAAGTAGAAGTTTCAAATGGCTAAAAACTAAGTTTTGTTAATTTTTTTTTTTAATATTGCACAAATTTGGAAACTTGGATTTACACGGGTTTTGTAAAAGAATAAACTATATTTTTATAAAAAAAAATAACCAAAATTAAATAACAACAAAAATAATACGTTGAAACTTGGCAACAAGTGGTTCGGCTATAATTTTTTGACCACTGTAAGAATTTTTTAATATCTTTAATGGACATGCACATTGTAAATAATGGAAGTACATAAGAAAATTAAAAAAAAATATGCCTTTTTTACTTTTTTAAAAGCTCTGTTTGCCTTTTTTTAAGTTTTTAGTGCCTTAAATTCCTATATTTCTACAGTTCTGGAGGGGGGGTCAGAACACCACAACCCGAATCTTTAACGCTGTGCAAATACTTACGGACGGCAGTGTACGACGAAAGCGTGCTTGCAAAAAAATGTATATGCACGTATTTGTTTCAAGTGGTGATAGATTTTTATGACCATTGGGCTTTTAGATTTTTATGGCATCGGCGGAGTACTATGTATAAGTTACGCAGAGCCATTGAAGATTGCTACCGACCTTGTAAAGATAACGGTTATCAACAACATGCCGACGGCTGTGATGATAAAAGTAACAACGTAAAATAGATATACATACATACATACTTATATGCAGGTAGTATTAATTAGTGAAATCACCTTCATGATATACCTAGATATGTATTAAAATATGCAACCTCTTCAAAATTTATATACCGTGTGATTCAGGAACGTGAATTCGGTGTCGAATTTGTGAATGAGTTTCTCGCCACAATCCGCATTGAATCAACATCTCGCACAGTGCACCGACTCCATATAAATAATGAACATAAATAGAATTTTTCGAAACTTTACTCCGGAAAGGATTACATCAAGGTAAGCTAAAAAGCCGAAATCGGTTTTTACGCCGGTTACCAAACTCGAAAAAACCGGTTTAATTTTTATTTGTTTTTAGTTGCGGATGCAAAATAAGGCATAATTAATACTGACGTGTACAATTAAATAGATAGATTTATTTGCTATCTGATCGCTTGATATACTAGATTGGTCGACTCTGACTTTTGACATTATTACGGTGGGGTGCAATAACTCCATATGCAATAAGGCCATAATGGCTTTATTTCGCTTTGCGATTGGAAATAAAGCCATAATTTCGATATGGCCTTATTTGCAACTGGAAATGGAAATAAAGCCATTATGGCGCGAGTGCAGTGCAGCGAGACGCGGGGGTCGCGAACGTGGCGCGAACGGGCGCGGCGCGGTGCGGGAGCCAGCAAATGTGCACCCGCCAGGTTATGCACTCGCAAAATTAAAACTTACCTAAGTGCATATATTTATTTTCCAATATCCAATAAACCAGGAAATATTAAATAATTATTAATTTTATTTTATTAGTAATAATTTGTATCAATTTAAATAATTCATTGCATATGGACGTAATGTTCTCTACGGCGAAAAATTCAGATTCGCCGGTAACACCGCCTTATTAATTCGCCTTGAGAGTGTCATTTCAGAATATGGCTTTATTACTCATTTGCACAAATTTCAATATGACTTTATTTCACTTCTGGATTGGAAATAACGCCATATGGTTTTATTTCCAAAACAAAATGGAAATAAGACCATATGGCTTTATTGTGTATGGTGTTATTGCACCCCACCCATTATTACCTAATTTGTAAGTTTTAGAATCCTATTGCAGCAGTACAAACCCAATGGTTTTATTTCCAAAACAAAATGGTAATAAGACCATATGGCTTTATTGTGTATGATGTTATTGCACCCCACCCATTATTACCAAATTTGTAAGTTTTAGAATCCTATTGCAGCAGTGTAAACCCAATGTTTTTTTTTTATCACCCCCGACCCCCATCCTCAAGTCGGCCTGGCCGCTATATAACGGCTCTGACCAACTTGTATGCGCTTGTTTTAGCTTACAAAAACCTACTCCACGAAAATTGTATAAATCCTGTTTTTTACTATTTAAATATAACAATTTTTTTCCTTTCATAAATCCTTTCTTCACATATGCACATATGTACAATTTTTAACGCATGCAACAAGCAATGTCATCGAGATAGCTTGGAGTTTGTTTGTATTGTTTTTTTCGGCGTAATTTTGCAGATCTTTTTTTTCAGGAACTTTAGAATTATTAAAAAGCTACTCCGATCGAACTTTTTAGAGTAAAAATTACGTAGTTTGAAAAAATCAGTGCATTACACACGGTGTACCAAGCGGAATTACCTTTGAATTAACGTTCCAGGCACCGCCATTATCTTTACGCTTATTAAATTCCCAAATTGTACTGGCTTGAGCCATTGCATATGTAAAGATACTGCTTTAATTAATTGTATACACAGCTATTTTGATGAAATTTTACTTACCGAATGTTGTATTCGAGCAGGAAATAAAATTAAAACGAAAAGAAATAAGAATAAAATAAATGAAATGAAGTTACAGAAACGCTGCAGAGGTACTTAAATAAAAAAAAAGAATTAAAATTTGTATAATTTGTAAACATTTTCCTTACAACTTTTCGGCCAAATTACTCGGCCAATTTTTGCCGAAGCCGAGCCGAATCCAAACTGGAACTTCATGGCGGAACTGTTCGGTAACCGAAATCAAACACTCGGTCGGACACTTGTAATTACTAATTTACCATCGAATCGTAATTTATTTACGTGGACTAATGTTTTCCATAATATCACTTTTTAAATGTTTAAACTTTGTAAACCACAGCACTTAAAGTTAACTAATGATTGTTTGTATTTGCCTTAATCTTACTCCTAATCCTAATCTTAATCTTAGTCTTAATCTTAATCGTTACCTTGATTTTAATTTTAGTCTTAAGCTTAATCTTGAGCTTCATTTTCATCTTAAACTTCATCGTTATCTTCATTTTCACCTTTATCTTTATCTTCATCTTCATCTTCATCTTCATCTTCATCTTCATCTTCATCTT